TGTGTGTGTGTGTGTGTGTGTGTGTGTGTCAAACAATATTATCATTTTTTTAAATCATAAATTGATACAATTCAGGAACAATTAAAATGTTGGCTGTAGAGCATAAGTTTTCGGATTATATTTATACCTTCAGACTATACTGTATATACATGGCAAGCAATTCGAATGGTCGGGATGTTGCGACAAGAGAGGCCCCTCCGTTCGATTCAACCTCCATCCTCCACTCGACTATATAAAAGCTAGCCGCCGCTGATGGGTCGCTTTAGTTTTTCACTCTTGCCTGCAGCCTTGTCAGCTGAAAAAGAAATTATTCTTTCTTCATACTTGTCGATTTTGACATATTGAACAATCAGTATCGCACGATGAAGGAATATTATCTTCTCTTATTGGTCTCGCTAGTGGCTCTGGCCGTCGCCAACGAAAAGTATACCAGAAAATATGATGATGTGAACGTGGAAAAAATTCTCCAAAATAATCGTGTTCTCACCAATTATATTCGATGCCTGATGGACGAGGGACCTTGCACCGCCGAAGGCCGTGAATTGAGAAGTAAGTAAAAAAAAAGAAATTAACGATAAATATCGAATACACGCAAAAATCAAAAACATTTAGGTCTTAAAAGAATAACTTTTTAAATTTTATTTTTTATTTATAAAGATATAAAAAAATAAAACTACTTAGCACTTAACATTTTTCAATTAAAAAAACGAACCAAACGAACGTAGTTGTAATTGTAGCTATAATTATGGCAGAGAATTCAACATGTACTCTCTCCGTTACATAATTATTGCTGTGAACTTTCTCGCACGTACTACATCCGGGCTTGCCTTTGTATTTACATAACTGTAATGTATAAACTTTATATTTACGTAAATTTTATGTTACTACGTTTACAAAAATTTTAACTTTTTATAGTAATTTATATTAATATATCACACACACATTAATAGAGTTATTACATTCATGTGAACTTTACCTTATAAGTTTCCATAAACTTCAAATTTTATTACATATTATATTTTATAAAGACATGTTTATAGAAATTCCATGTTATAAAATTCGTGTAAGTAATTTAAGTTTTAATCTATACTATATTTTTTATTATCTCTGATGGAAAAATTTTTACGTCATAATTAATATTTTTAAGAATTTTTCATATTTTTAATTAATAAAGATTTTCTAAAGAATACTTAAAAATATTATTCAGGTCATAAGATTTCTTCAAAAAATATAAAATGAGAACTCTTAGAATAACATCAGAATTCACATATGTATCAAAAATTCTAAAAAAATAAGTAGACTTTCTCAACAATTTTGAAAAGTATTTCAATTCATATTTTAAAAAATTGAAAAGTTATAAAGAATTCTAAGAAAAATTTTCTTAAAAAGATATATATTATATAAAGTTATATTAATGTAAATTTTCATTGTAAAGTTTGCATGAACTTGTAATTTTATTATATTTATTTTATTTATTCCTATTTATTTATATTATTGTATTATATGAAATTACATCTACATAATCTTTATGTTATAACGTGAAATTTAAACTTTATTACATATGTAATTATATAAAGAGATATGTTATATTTTGTTAAGTTATTACGTAATTATTATATATATTTTATTATGTTATTGCGTTATTATAAAATATATTAAATTTACATAAATTTTATCTTAAACAGTAAAATATAAAGTTTTCGTTTTCGTAAAACTTTATATATATATATATATTTTTTAATCAAAGTTACTCCAAGATCAATGTATAAAATTTAATTGCATAAACAATAATGAATTATTCAATATCATTGAATTCAAACATTAATAAGTGTTCATAAGTAATTCAATTATAAAATTATAATATAATTTTAATGTAAATTAAATGATATTAAAATTATATTTATATCGTTTCTTATTTGTTTGGCACATTTAGAAAACCTCAAATGATACAATATATTCTATGAATATTACATATAGTGTGTCTAATATGCTTCTACCAAGAATTTATATAAAACTACCATTTTTTATCAAAATTGATATAGATTTGTATGACTATATAATGAAACATAAATAAATATAATTATTAATAAATTACATTTATCCTATTTTTGTTTTATTGCACAGCTTTCGGCAATAATTTTTTCCGAATGTTCTTACAAAAGTATGCTTAATGCTACATAAAATAGTTGTAGAATATATCGCGAAACTAGAAATATTTAAGTTCCAGCTAGTAAATTTGTTAATTAATAGCGAAATATAATTATAACGTATACGTTTTTATTTACAGAGACTCTGCCGGATGCTTTGTCGACCGGTTGTAACAGATGCAACGATAAACAGAAAATTATGGCGGAAAAGGGGATAAATCATCTTAAAACAAAACGATCCAGGGAATGGGATCGTCTTGTTGCTAAATACGATCCACAAGGCGAATACAAAAAACGCTACGAGAAATCGTAATTTTTTAAAAGTATTTTAATGCAATTACTACATTTTTGTATGAGAAATAACAAAAATCATTGTAAGATATAATATGTTGAAATATATAATATTGTGAAATATTCATTGAAAATATAATCGATATTTATTAACAAATACATGATAACATAATCGAATGGAATTCAGTCAATAAACAAAAGTGAAGTTAAAGGTTTTATTTTAAAATTGCTAAATCAGCATTTTTTACAAATATGCAAGTTATGCAATTTATCATTCATTGACCATGTCACCATTTCTTCCAAATAAAAATGTTGTCATTACGTAAGTATTTGTAAAGAGTGTATTTGGCAATATGTATACACGCAATTATTAATCATAAATTGCAATCAGAAAAAGATACATCCAAGATGACCACTTAAAGGATAATCCTTTCTTTAAGCAGCAAATTTTTTCATTCAACGCGTCTCTTCTTAACCAATGATCCAAGCTGAAACACATAAATATAAAAAAAAATATATATATATATATATATAGAGAGAGAGAGAGAGAGAGAGGGGTGGGGAGGGGGCCAAACAATATGTACAAGCGGGTACGACGCAATTATAAAAAATTTTAAAAATATTTAGAATTAAATTTTTTTTTGAAGTAGAAAGATTTCCAAAAATAATCAACAATTTAAATATAATAGGCTAATGGGAATCATTGCGGTAATTATTGCGCAAAATTACAAATTTTAATTAACACAAGTTTATTCCGTGCATGTAAGTATATTTCCATACGTTTCAGTCATCCTTCTGACCATTTTCAGTGGTACTTATATCAAAGCGTAGCAATCACAAGATCGGTATTACGTAGAGTAGACCATATTTCCATCGTGTTTCAATTTATATAATAACCATTTCAACGCGAAAGTAAAAAATAACTGTCTCAAAAGTCGCAACATATTTAAAAAAAAGTAATAAATATTAAAAGTCGACTGTACTTCCAAGAGTCACGATTTAAAATGTAGATGTAAAACGTATGGAAAATACTTACATGTTTGAAATATAGATTTAAAACCGTGACTCTTGGAAATACAGTCGACTTTTAATACTTATTACTTTTTTTTAAATATGTAACGACTTTTGACTTATTTTTTACTTTTGTGTTGAAATGGTTATATAAATTGAACACGATGGAAATATGATCTACGTAATACCGATCTTGTGACTACTGCTGCTACGTTTTGATATAAGTACTACTGAAGATGGCCAAAAGGATGGCCAAAACGTATGAAAATATACTTACATGCACGGGATAAAATTTGTAATTTTGCGCATTATTGCGCTGATTCCTATTAGCCTATTATATTTGAATTGTTGTAATTTTTTTTTTTTCGGCTTAGTTATTCAGAAAATCAAATTTGAAAATCCGCTGCGTACATATTTTATTACAGCTAAGATGCGGTTCGTCGAGCGACATATAACGCGTATCGTGTTTATAAACAACACTCTACTGTGCCGAACAATTAGTTTTCGTTAAAATATCACGACGATGAGTTACACGAATAGGAAGTATACCGACCGAGCTTGATCCGGGCTATGATCCGGGCTTTGAGAGTCTTAATGGTAATTTATCTGTTACTGTTCGCTATTACAGAGAGCGATATCCTAATCGTTGTTCTCGATCGAAGAACATTTCAAAAAGTGGAGCAAAGTCTTTTAAAACATAGATCTTTTGCACCGTGGCAATTCTGTAATAGAAAACAATTTTGTTCATTAAAAATTTTCTTTGTTTTTCCTTGAACTCGATAGCTTTCAAATGCCGTGTAGACATTATTTATAAATACACGCGTTATACGTCGCTCAACAAACCGTACCTAAGATGTAACAGCATGTGTATGTAGCGGATTTTTAAACTCGATTTTCTCGAAAACTAAGCCAAAAATAAAAAATTTTCTTTATTCTTTTATTTTTTATAAGAAATCACGTAGTGCCCGCTTGTACATATTATTCGGCTGGATCTTGTATGTGTATGTGTGTGCATGTGTGTGTGTACACACACACATACACACATAAACTTATTCTCAAAAATAAATTTAAGTACTATATGTATGCATTTACAAACGTACCAGATCTGAAATCGCCGGTAGATTGTTAGTTTGATCGGTAACAGTAGGTTCTTGCTCACGATTTTCTTTCTGTGCGGCCGCCTTTTTCATGTTTCTATGTTGTGGAAAAGTAGGCATGAGTTTTGGATCGCAAGCTACAACATATCAAATCAATCATTTATAAATAGATTTAACCGTTGCTACATCGGAGACAATTTAAGAAGCCTAAATAACACTAACGTAAAGGAGCTTCTTTGAAGTAGCTACTCTGTAAACATTCTTCGGCAGTTGCCCTCTTCTTTGGATCGTACATAAATAAAAAATTCAATAATCTAAGACCAGCAGCGCTTAACCAGGGAAATCTTTGTTTCAAATTGTTATATGGTTGCTGTTTAAGCGTAAAATTCTGTAGTGCTGGTAATGAATTAAATTCTGGCCAAATAGCTTCGCTGGGTGTACCCAGTAAATCGACAATTAACTCTAATTGTGCGATTTCTGATCTACCGGGTAATAAGGGTTTATGTCCCAATAATTCTCCTGATAACAAAACAAAGAGCATTATACAGTACGTATATATATATATATATATATACATAAAATATATATTTATGAATGTTGTAATAATATAAAAAAATAATAAATATAATACAAATATAAAATATATATTAATATTAATACAATAAATTAATACAATTAATATAATGCAATAATAAAATACTCTGCCTAACCCATTAATTTCTTACCCAATATGCATCCAGCTGCCCACATATCGACAGAAGTAGTCTGTGTCTTGGCTTGTAAAAGCAATTCAGGTGCTCTGTACCATAGCGTTACTACTCTAGGAGTCATTGGTTTTAAAGGTAAACCAAACCATCTAGCCAGTCCAAAATCAGCAATCTTTACACAACCCTTATCAGTCATAAGAAGATTAGAGACTTTCAGGTCTCTGTGAACGATAAAGTTGTGATGTAAATAACGCAAACCTTTCAACACTTGCAATACTATACACTTGACCTGGCTTTCTGAAAATGGCGCCTGCATATTATCCAGCAAGCTTGCTAAATCTTGTTCACAGTACTCCATTGCTAGAAATATGCTTTCCAAGCTGCGACCTACTACCACTTCTCTCAGATGTACAATGTTTTCATGTCGGCATGATAATAAAACTGATATTTCCCTGAGACCGCTTACTGGCAGACCATCCTTTTCATGTTCCATTCTTACTTTCTTCAATGCAACGACTTTATCATTTTTTGTATCTCTGGCTCGATACACAATTCCGTAAGTACCCTCTCCGATACGATTCAGTTTTTCAAATTCGGAGACAAACCTACATTTGCCAAGCTGTAAAACATACATGAAAACTAGAGTCATGTATACTTAAAAAGATCTTCAGAGATCAATTTATTACAATATAATATTAAATCTATTACAATATCTTGTTCTGGTATTTCCATAGCTTTGCCAGTTAAAAAGGATGTTAATACTCCTTTTCTTGTGATTGGGGCCGAAGGATCAGGCCCCGAGTCGGATATTGCTTTCTTATCGCTATCATTACGTTCCACGGACTTCTTTTCTAAACTTTCGTCTGAAAAGAAAACGCAAATAGCTCGAAACTTAAATTGTTTTGATTTATTTCTTTCGCTTAAATTTTTAATATTCTATTATTTTTCTCTGTACTTTTTCAAATATTTATTTTTTCAGAAATGTAAATGTAATTAATCAATCTATTTTATTCATATTTAATTAATTAAAAAATAGAAGTATTCATGTAATACCTTTTGTCATTTTGTCACTAAACTGTTTCTTCTTCGATTAACAACCCGATTCCTAAGTGTGAGTTCGATGTGGTCAAACCACTTAATTGCACACAAAATGACCACTTAATTAATTTTTGATAGATGAAAAACAATAAAAACCGATGAAGATTAATACCGGTAATATGGAGATAGGATACGTATACACAATCTTCGACCATATACATAAAGTTATATATAGAAAAGTTAAAGATCGGCAAGAGAGATTATGGAGACCTCTATCAGGATAAATTTCTGGCCCTCAATTGTGTATGGTGCGTTCCCACTGAGCGCGTCACGCGCGCGTCATCCGAATTGATCAATCAAAACATCCCATTTTATTGCGTAATTTGCTGCGCGATCCGGAATTTCATACAAAGGAAGATTCTTTTATCTCTAGAATGTCAAGTAATCTAATCGATGCGTCGCGCAAGGAGTCGCGCGATAAATGATGCAATAAAATGGGATATTTTAGTTAATTCGTTTGTGACGCGACGAATGATGCGTGAGGGTGCGTTCTCACTGAGCGCGTCACGCGTCGCGTCATCCGAATTGACCAATCAAAACATCCCATTTTATTGCGTAACTTGCCGTGCAATCCGAGATTTCATACCAACAAA